CGAAAGCTCAAGCGTTTCAAATGTGTTTTTATCTCTCTAAATCGAATTTCACTACCTCGAATTTCTCTATAACTCGAACACTGAACTACTATGGAATTTTTTCAACTTTTACTTCTATAAGTCGAATTTACCAAAGAATCAGATGAAGGTGATGATAATCTTGAAAATGGAATACTTATCGCTGTGCCTATATTTGATGAAGCTTATTCCTTTCTTAGAAAGCTTGAAACCTTTGTTTTATCGAGAGAGAATGTTTCAGATAATATTCATAATTCTTTACATTTAATAGAAGATTTTTTCGACAAAGAGCGGTTGTCCACTTTAAGCCAAAAGTGTTTAAACTTAATTAATTTTCTACTCACAATAGTATTAAGGTTTCTGTTTTAAATATACGTATTAGAAAAGTACATTTCTAATTTTTTTCTTTAGAGCTGAAATTCTACTAATTTTTCTCTAACTCGAATTTTCCATAACTCGAAGTTTTCTGCCGCTCCCTTAGTGATTCGAGTTAGGGAATTTCACTGTAAACAGATCCCGTCACTTATTGTTAACACATTATGGGCATTTATGTGTTAAGAGGTTAGCGATTATTCTGATGCTTCATGTAAATTTCTTACATAAAATTTACACAAAGATATTTTCTTCACACTTATAACATATCCAACTATCTGTAGCCGTGTCCGTGCTTGGTTGTGGATCAAATTCTTCCCTTCTGGTTGTACGTTTAGCACTTTTTCGTTTTCTTTGCTGGTTGCTGCGAATGTCTAAACAGTGAAGCCGTGATTTTACTTACGTTAATAGTTCAGTGCTTTACGTCTGATAGCCTGTATAATCGTTTTGGTGTAAAGAAAATTTCTGTTAAACAAGTTCTGTTGCCATTGTGGCTAAAGCTGTCCCAGTTCGTCCAAGCTGGGCCCAGCTGTGAGTTGATTCCGGAGTCTCTTGTGCATGAGAATTGTGTGCTTATCATTATAAGCTACTATTATAAACTAATACACTAAATCCAGTGAGGAGGATCAAATGGATTGAAGATTGTTTTATCCATGGGTTGAATTACTTTGAAGGCAATATAACGTGTAGCCATGTTTGTCAGCAGCGCTTGCAATGTTTGCATCCAGATGAAATGATGCCCAATCAAATATTAACACCACTGCTTCGGCTACGTGGTGAAGCCATGTATTGAAAATAGCCGTTGTCGTTGTTGAAGAGGGGCTATATCCCTTTGCTCATAATAGTCTCTGTTCTAGGTGGCATATCTTTCACCCATTTTGGCTTCAATTGCTAGCTTTCGAAGATCGCCATAGGTGAAATAGGTGAAATGCAGCAATTGATACCGTATACAGGGTAATTCAAATTCGATCACACCATTGGCATCTCAGAAACCATAACAGATAAAGAAATGGTTAAATAGAGGCAAAGTTGCGTATCTTAGAGCTCATCATTTTTCAACTAAGTTTTTGGATCTAGCTGTTTTAGTTTTTAAAATATAGCCGAAAAACAAAAAAATTACTTTTTCGTTTTTTGCCTATAACTTCTTTATTTTTCATTTTTTCGTGAATCTGAAAAAACATTCTTAAGGCAACTTTATATGAAAAATGTCATGACACAACTAGAAATTTTCTCCGACGTTTCGTTTTCGTGAAACTATCATGAACGCCATATTTGATTTTCACACCAGAAAATAGGATAATTAATTCTGATTTCAATAATATGTCACACAATGTATTTCATTTAAAAAAACATTGAATTATTCAAAAAAAAAAAACCTGATGATAGTTTCACCAAAACGAAACGTCGGAGAAAATGTCTAGTTGTGTCATGACATTTTTCATAACAAATTATCTTAAGAATGTTTTTTCAGATTCACGAAAAAACGAAAAATAAAGAAGTTATAGGCAAAAAACGAAAAAGTATTTTAAAGTAGATCCAAAAACTTAGTTGAAAAATGATGAGCTCTAAGATACGCAACTTTGCCCTCATTTAACCATTTCTGTATCTCTTATGGTTTCTGAGATTTCAATGGTGGAAGTCGAATTTGAATTACCCTGTATACTGGATGTACAGGTCTAACTAAGTATATGCACTCTTTTAGCACCTCTCCTTGTTAAAATAGTTTGTTGAAAATGAATTGTGATTTTATCATAACATCTTTCCACTCTCAATTTGATCACGTAGTGTCCCTTCTCTTCTCTTCTCTTCACTGCTTTAATTTCAGCCTTCTACCGACCGTCTGTTCAGAGGTTTTTTTTTCAGAATACACGAGTCGCTGTTGATTACTGTTGGTTATTTTGGTTAAATTAATAAGGTGCCTTTTGGAAATGTATACAGTGTGTCCCAGGATTATAAGACCCAGGAGAGAATTATAAGTATAGCCACAGTACAACAACTTAATAATTCACTTCAGCCTGCCATCAACACTATATTAGAGAACACTATATCGATTGGTTATAAGGTATTTGTGCAAAAAACAAAGTGTGTTCTATTCTCTAGACGATATCGTCATCAAGAAAATCCCTCTTTGTATTTACAAAGTATCCGTATTGCTGTTGTTCCTGAAATTAAATTCTTAGGGATGATATTCAATGCCAAGTTACGATGGCAGAGCCATATTCAGTACATTATTTCGCGTTGTCGGAAATCATTAAATCTACTGCGCGTTTTATCTGGTACAACGTGGGGGGCTGATACTACAATGCTGAAGATGTTGTATAAAAGTGTGATATTGCCTGTTATTGATTATGGTAGTGTGGTGTATTCCTCTGCAAGAATAACCGTACTCAAAAAACTTAATGTAATACACAATCTTGCAATACGGTACATACTTGGGGCTTTTCCCACTAGTCCGGTTCATAGTTTGTATTGTGAGTCTGGTATTGCTCCTCTTCACCATCGGCGTAATTTTCAAATTCTTAATTATTTTGTAAAAAAACGCATACAACCTGAGCACCCAACCTCTATATTGTTTTCCCAACAGCCACCTGTGTACAGATTAACAGCCACAAGACCGGCAATAGTAAGAGCCAAAGAACTTTCTTTAAGGCATCTTAAATCTCTGGTATATAACAAATTGCAGAATGACTGGCAACACAATGAAAGTTTTCTACGCCGTATCAAACCTTTAATAAAACCTTGGAATCAGCCCATTACCTTCAATAGATTAGAACAGGTGAAACTAGCGAGATTACATATAGGACATACACATCTAACTTCCGGTTATTTGTTAAAACGAGAACCAAGACCTGTATGTTTGGGCTGCGAAGTTCATCTCACGGTAATGCATATCCTGCTAGACTGTGAATTATATGCCAACGAGAGACAATTACATAATATCTCATGTCTGGATGATGCATACGCGAATCCTGTTAATTTAATTGAATTTTTTAAGTGTATTGATTTGTTCCATCAATTATAAATACGGTGAGCGCTAAAGATCATCGCTATCGAAGCGCTTCTAATATCAATTATAATAATAATAATAATATAAGTATAGAAAGCGAAAACTATTTTTAGTTCAGGTAAAGTAAGCTGTGTGTTTATGATACGGCAAAACTTCATTTGGAAAAGTTGTTCAGAATGAGAAATTATGACACCTACATTGATTAAACCACCATATTTTAGATTAGATCAGAGTGAAGAAAAACAACAATTAAAAATGCCATAAAAAAATGTATTATCCCTCAGATTTAGTTCACATTTCAATTACTCTTGTATTATGTTAACATTAGAACAGAAAATTTACGTCGTGCAGTGTTATATTTCAGCTGGGGCAAAGTGCACTAAGAGCAGTGGTGCAGCAGTTTAACGAGATTTCATAATACCAATCTTACACGTATAACTGTTATGCGAATAGTTAAGAAATTTCTTACTTCGGGAAGCGTTGTTAACATTAAGAGAGAGAAAAAGAAATATAACGACAATAGAAAATCAGCTTTAGAGAATTTAGGCATTTAAGCATTTAGGCACAAAAGGTGGATGTTATGTTGAATAAACGACAGTTATGTTTACGTTAGATTTTTTATAAATAAAATAAAATTATACAATATTTATGTTATTTAAACTAAAATGTGATGGTTCAACCAAAGTAGATAGATAATTCTGAAATTTTGTATAGGACCATAATTTCTCATTTTGAACAACATTTTTCTGTATCATGAACAAATTCAGTTTTTGATTCACTGTCAAGGCCGACTTTGTTTTCAAAACATGAAAATATTCTTAAAATTCTCTTTACACCAGGCAGCGCTTAATTCCTCATCCTTAAAATAAAATTTTAAATTTTTTAAGTCATTATAGCTCTTGTAGCATCTATCCTGGGGGTGTGTTCCAGTATACTAATTTGAAGCAACAGTTTGTTTTTAGTTTTCTCTTGTTATAGCAGATTCAATTCCTTTTTTTGTAAGAGCAGAGCTTGTTGCAAATAATACCAGTAGCACAAATCTAATTACCTAGTAAATTTGAAAATTGAAATTACCGTTTGAGTATCGTTGTCTAAATGTGAATTTTATGGTAATACATAGTGATAGATTAGTTACGAAATTAATTCACAATCCAGTAGTTAATGCATGCGTGGATGAAACGAATGCATGCGAAAGGTCAATGAAATCCTCTTGCGGATAAAGCCATTTTGTCACTGTCGAGCCACGCTTCGCCGAACCCAAAGAAATTATCAATATTTATGGGATATGTCATTCCCAACACGAAAATGAATTTTATTTCTATGTATTACTGATGTGTATTTTTATAATAAGAGGTATTAAGTCAACAAAAAATTGTTGAAAACCTTAACATAACTTCGATAAAGAGAGGTGAAGAAAACCATAAGTTTCTGTAGTCTCAGCAATCGGTCGAACGTCGGCCAACTTCAGGGCGTGTGCAGGTGCCCCGTCCAATAAGGACCACAATTCACCGTCACGTGGGCGTTACCGTCCACGACCGCCCCGGACGCCGACGTCGTTTTCGACGACGGCCACGCACCCAGACTAGTAACGACTCCGCGCCAACGCGTGCCAACGTGTACTACGTACTACCGCCATCTACCGACGGTAAAACTCGAACACGCAATCCAAATAGTACACTCGTAAATACCGTTTTTAGTCAAAGTGACAACCGAGAAAGTTTCGTCCACAGGGACTCAGCCCATCATCAGGAATCTTCAAATAAATGAACTTATTGTGTTTTCTTCAATATGAATTGTACGTATGGTTACCAAATTCAAGCGAATTCACCCACGGAAGCTACTGGTGCTGATCTCTTAGAGGTAAAAATATGATATAATTATTTACTTACCTATATCCATGCAAAATTGATGGGTTACTTCTTGTAATTCAAAACGCGATTGCATGTAATCATCACAAAACTCTCATTAAAAGCAGTTAATAACGAAGAGTACACTTTAATCCAGAGATAGCGGTCGGCAAATACAACTAATGAGCAGCAATTGCTTAGGAGAACCGCGTTCTCCGGTCGTAATCAAGAGGTGGACGCAAAATTGTTAAGGAAGAAGAGAGGCAGGACCAACGTAATCATGGCCTACCTCCTTCTCTCAATGGTGGAACCGCCGGGTATCTCATTATTGCTATCATTTACCACCAGGAAGTCTGCTCCCGTTGTTATACCTACCATACACGTTCTAAGCATATCGAGATCAAAAACATAGTAGGCACACTATCATGATTTCTCTATTGCCTACCTTAAACACAGAATATGATCGATTTCGTTCTTTTACAAATTGCAAAGATCCGTTGCTCGTCTATGATTAAAGGGATTTGCGCATTAAAAATTTTTATAATTATCTAATACCATATAAGAGATACAAGTTTTATTAAGACATAGTTTCTCGAATAATTTTCATACTAAGTGGTATTTTACGCCGTAATCTTGCGAAATTGTTATTTTTAAGATTACTTTCTATACCGTTTTATCTACATCCTATCCTCATAATTATGTTGTTTCAAAGATACTTATTTGAATGCATAATTTAATATCTAAATATCACAAATCAACGTTGATGACGAAAGTTGCACAGTTTTCGATGTTCTATCTATTTCACTTGCACCTAATAAAAACTTTATGTTGAAGCCCAGAACAGATATATAGAAGTGGTTGTGGTGGTTAAAAGATAAAAATCTCAGTTTGAGCAAAATTCGTAAATCCACAAAACTCAGGTTTCTTTTGATTTTGACGTTGGTTCTTCGTGTTAAACAATGTAAACAATGTTATTCTAAACAAGAAAGTTACCAAATTTGAAATTTTTTAGTTTTAATTGGAGTTTTTGGATCTCTTTGTTGTCAAGTCATTTAGACTTAATCAGCCGAAATCGGATTTTCTCTATTCTAAAACTAAGTCCCTTGTAGCCGAGACGTTGCAGTACGTTTTTTCCTGTTTTTGTAACCTCAGAATTCTAGGTCAGTTGTGGCCGTGGCGCTGCATCAATTGACCTTGGAGTGTTGACAATGTGTTAATTAATTTTAGGTTGGTATGAAATTTGTTCCAATCACATTTTTGACTGCTAATGGATCATCAATTGACTGATTTCTGATTTTTAGCCAACTGTCTCCAAAATGAAACACTTTTTGACATGATTTAGCCTAACAGTGTTTATTAAAGTTGGATATGTTAGATCTTTCACAAAGCGTATCTTATTTTGTTTTTGAATCATATTGGGTATTTTGTATTACACTTTCATTTATCAATCTAGGGATTATATATATATATATATACAGGGTGATTTATTAGCTCATCATCAAACTTTGACATATGATAGCTAATTTTTATATCATAATTAACTGCTACATTTTTTTAAACCACATAAATATTACAAATAGTGTTCAAAATAGTCTCCTTCTGCTAGAATACATGCTTCACAACGACGAATTAAAGAGTTCTTCAGCCGAATTAAAATGTCTGGTTGATTTATTATTTTAGTAGCAGTCATTTGTATTCTGTTTTATAATTTTTCTCGTGTGTTAATTTCCACTTGATACACAATTTGTTTTATTTGACCTCATAAGTCAAAAAATCCAATGCATTAAGGTCTGGAGATCTAAAAATGTTGACTTACATGTATGTTTTGTGCTATTCTTCGAGTGTTGATGGAAGGATTATCAATGACAGCATTAATTGCAGCTTCTTCGTCCTCTATATTAACTATATAAGTTATTAGTATTATATGCGGTCGAATCGCTTTTGCTGGAGCAGGATTACCTGTTTCTCGAAGTCTTCTGAAAGAATCGCTGAAAACTGAATGATATGACAAATGACGCTGTGGAAATCTTTTTTGATATTCTCGTACTGATTGCCGAGCATTTCCATTGTAAAAACCATACACGAAAATTATATCAGCATATTCTTCAGTGCTATAAGCGTACATTTTAATAATAATAATAATGACAACATTGTTTTTGTTGAATGTTTGATTTTACTGGCTATTAATAAATTCGCTGCAGAAAACTTTAAAGTGTTATAATTTCGTAAATAATTGAAATAGGACATATGTTCATTAACATTTTTTTTTTGGTAATTGGGTTACCTATCATATCTCAAAGTTTGATGGTGAGCTAATCACCCTGTATAATAAAATAATATAAATAAACGGCTTTACATAACCATTAACTTTAGAATCAAAACACTCTAGAAAGATTGAAGTAAATCATCCATCCATCTCTAACCTCTATAGAAGGCGTACCAACAATTCTGCACACAGTCCTCCTCCTCCTCCTCCTCCTTCTCCAAGAAGAGTCTCGATCTTCTTGCTGTGGCCGTATCCAAAGCTCACCCGATTGATTAATGAATAATTTTCGCGCCGTGTCAACGGAACGTTAGATTGCACGCGTGTGGTCGACCGACAACATAAATCCTGCAGATTCCTGCAGTATTCTTCATGGTCGGCTTTGATCTTTGCCGCGAATTGTAGGAGGGAACGTCGCCAACGCCCCTACAGGTACCTTGATGTTTATTATAAGAACTAGTTTTTTTTTCTTTGAGGTGAAATGTCTTAATCTGTTTACAGATTTGATTTCAGTTGTTTAAAATAGTTAGATATATATAGTTGGTATAATGTCTTAATACTTATATGTATATATCTAGGAATTAAATATAAGTAATTAAAAATTAATTCTTGCAACATTGAAACTACATCTCAATTCGATCTTGATATACATATTGTAATCTTAATGGTCTTTATTTCGATAACCAACTTAGTCTTTCAGATACGATTTAATCTACTCTATTAAATTTTAATCTGCTCTATCTAACTTTTACACCTATTAAGTTATACATAATATACATAGCTGAATTAAAAAGGTCATTGTTGTCTATAAAAAGTGACTTTCACTTCTAGCTGTTCATAGCAATTTCCAAAAGAATTGATTAAAAACTTTAGGATGTGCATCCATCATCAGGATACACAGATCATTTACGAGAGATTCAAATCTATTTAAGTCATTACAACGGCGTCTGTAAACTTGATTTGTGTAGTTTAATACATTATTATTAGTTATATTATATAGTAGTCTTGGAATGTATAGATATTGGACAGAAATCACTTTTATCATCCTCCTGATAAACTATCTAATAGTATGGATAGTTGCCATGGTTACAGCAGTTTTAAGCGCTTTCATTAGCTAAGAGCTGAATTTGTCCATCGGATTAATTTATCAAGAGAAGGAAAAACACATAGTCACAATAAAATAGAGAAACAAATTATCGAATCTATGGAGAAGAGATTATGTACTGGAAAAGTGATGATATCCAAAATAGGAACGAGTTGAACCGCATCAATCATGTCAAAAAGAATTTAAAAGTCATATTAGCATGGTAGTAGCAGTTATGGTAAGAAAGAGCTGCTAAAGTGAAGTGTCTCATATAACATAATTTGTATCTTAAGAGACAATTATTGAAATCATCAATAACAAAACAATAGTATTGTAGGAAAGAGTGTGTTTCTTGAATATTAGTTCCATTAGTTCTTCAAATTTGGTGAACAGTAAAATGTGTCCAAATTATACAAAAATTCTTGTTGCCGACTTTCTTCCAAATAAACAGCTACTCTGTATTCTGCTGCGATCCAACAGATGATGTAATAATGTTGCTGCCAGTTCTTTTAAGATCATAATAAGGAAACGACAGTCTGAGCAACGTGATAAAAAGACAACTTCATAAAGTGTCACATCTTTATTCAATGTCAAATGCTACCTAGAAAAGTTAGTCAACAGCGTTGGATGTTAAGTTATTACGCCAGATCTTTTCAGCTAAATATCCAGGTGTTTTTGAGTGGGTAGTACGAAACCTTCCAAAGTGCTGCTCTTCCTTACTCAAAATTGCACGACAATACCGTATGGAGTATTCAGCTGATGTATGGAGAAATAAATAATGAACGATTCAACGATAGTTGAGTTAATCAAGAAACCAAAAAGAAATGTTCGGAAGTAGTGATTATTTATTAGGTATCTTAGTGATACCATTGATGACAACATACGTAGAGTTGAGTTTTATGTCTTTTCTTAACATTTTCATGGACTTAGCCCACAACCTCTTTATCAGGGGGACGACCAACAAATATTCCTACTCCAGTAATATACTAGATACCCCCAGAATGCAATCACGTCCATAGACGTTTCCTTTAAATAGGGAGAATTTTAACAAGAGCGAACACTGCCGGAATAGATGAACACAATACATACGATTCTATAGCATAATATCCTTCATCCACAAAGTAGAGGATTAGTTAGCTATAACCAGGTTCTATCAGAAAATGGTGTAGTCGTCACATGAAACAATTGGAACCATCGACTCTATTAAGTGTCGAGCCAGTGTTGGGTGCTCCTCTGCAAAATCTTGGCTTTAATAATACTATGTACTAATGATTTTATAATATAATACGTAAAGCAATACTTAAGGTTATGAAAAAATTCGGTTATTCCCCCCTCTTTTATGCCACCATAAGTCAACAACAAATAATTTCTCGATACCTATCGTTATCAGAATGTCATCCGCAGTGTGTAGCAATGCCATTGAAAAACCAAAACGTGTGCTGAACCATAATTACGCTTTTGGCAACAAGTTATAACCCATCAGAGGTTAGGAGATATCATGAACAATAGCAGTACTTATAAAATCTTTGATCCGAAGTGCAACATGACTGTAATGTAATTATATTATACAGTCATGATTGGCTCATTGTTCTAAGCTGTAAAAACACGAAATAGTAAAAAGCTCTGAATGAAAGCAGCAACCTGATTTTAAGCTATTTGCTCCCAC